TTAAGTTTTCTTCCACCTCTGAGTATAGTATGACTTCTTCACCTAGTGTGAGTTCACCTTTCCCCTTTTGTTTTGTTTCGGTCAGCGCAATGAGTGTGACATTCGCTTTGCGAAATTCGTCCACCAGTTCTTGTTCTTTCTCATATAGAGTTCTAATATTCCAGGTTCCTACTCTCATATACGTTTTCTTGCTATTCCCTGAATTAATCATTGCCAGATTCTTTGCCAAGTTCGTCGTAATTTTCTCCGTTTTCTTAGATGCTTTTGGTTTTATGTCTTGGTATTCCTCTCTATTATTTTCTCCGTTTTGCCATCCCAGTCCCATATCTGCTTGTCTACGATCAGTTTCTGATATCCTACTTTGACATTTTTTTCTTGGTCTCTTTCGTTTTTTGCCAGCTTCCTTAGGTTGGCTTGTACTCTATTTTCTTCTTTGGTTAAATCATTATCAACAAACACCTTGGTTCCTTTGAGCTTGGATTTGGCTTGCATAATGTTTTGCTTATCCTCCCAGCATCCCAGCTTCGCAACAATTATATCCTTTCCTAGTCTTGTTTTTATCTTGGTTGCTTCTATGATTTTAGCTTGGACTTGAATTGTACTTTGTAGGAATTCAGCCACTCCTTGTTTTAGTGGATCGTTCTGGATATCTGCGCCCTTGATTACTATATTGTTTTTCTTTTCCAATTTTTCTACCCTCATAAGTCTGGTTTCTAAGAGCTCGATACGTGTTATCATTTACCGGTTTTCCTCTTTCAATTGTTTTATTTCGGAAATGTAAGTTGTTTGGTCTTTCCTTATTTGTTCAACTATTCCAATCAGATAATTTCGTGTTTTCCTCGATTCCCGCCATATCTACTTTACTTGCTTCCTTTTTTGCTTGTTGTTTGGGTGATGTTTTGTGTGCTTTTTTCGACTTCTTGAACTAAAATGAACTAAAGAATCTGGGACAATTATTGCAGTATTATACAATAGTTGACAATGTCATAAAAAAGCAAAAATGAATTACGAAGTCTGTATAGCGCGCGACTGCAATTCAAAAAGAAATTGTACAATGGTAAATTTATTGATTTAGCAACCAATAAGTCTAAGGCTATGTGGCAGATTGTTAACCAGCATCGTGGCAAACTAGCTCAAGTGTCAACGGATAACAATAAGTGCTGTAATATCTCTTGTGACTCTTTCAATAGTTACTTTGCTAATATTTGCTCTAATACTGCTGTAAATAAGGCTAGTTCTGAGTTACCACAAAGCAGTAGATCAATCGATATTGATAGTGATGATCAAGCAACTACTATTCCCAATAAGTCTAATTATAGTCCTGGTTGTCCCAGCGATGTAATTTTTAAATTTCGTGCTGTTTCCGATGTTAAGGTAAGGTCGATACTGGAGAGTCTTAAAAATAGACTTATTAATTTTACCACTTACCAAACTTATTAACTTATGTATCTCTCACTCAGTCTTCCCTGAATGTCGTAAAACTTCTATTGTTGTGCCAGTCCACAAAAAAGGTAATACCAACGAACCCTCAAACTATCGTCCTATTGCTATTCTACCTGTATTTGCTAAGATTTGCGGGAAAATACTGTATGAACAATTTAATTCCTACTTTGAAAGCCATAATCTTTGTAGTGAATTTCAATATGGATTCCGGAAAAATCGCTCCACTATCGATGCTAGACAAAGCCTGGTCGACTTCATCACCAATTGCTTTGAAACTAACCATATTGCTGCTGCCACCTTTTTGGACCTCTCGAAAGCGTTCGATCGAGTATCTCATACCCTCCTATTGGATAAGCTTGCTTTGTATAACGTAGAGCCGAAAAGTATTTCTCTAATCGAATCTTACCTTTCCAATAAGTCGCAAGTTGTGCGATTTCAGAATAACTTTTCGAAACCTCTAGCTATTAATATGGGGGTTTCGCAAGGATCTATCCTCGGCCTTCTACTCTTTTTGATCTTTTTAAATGATTTACCCCTCCACCTAAGCTCAAACTGCACGCTATACGCGGATGATACTACACTCTTCTCCAGGGCTGAGGACCTACAATCCGCAATTGTTAGTAATAGGTAGTCTCGGTCGGAAGCTTTTGATTGGTTCCGGGAGAACGAACTTCTTCTGAACACCGAAAAAACAGTTAATGTCATTTTCTCATAAAAAAAAGTTTGAAAATCCTGATAATTTTTCTGAGTCTCATAAATTTCTTGGTCTCTATCTTGATGCTACGCTGCTATGGAATGCCCAGGATATCTCGGCCGCTAACAAAACGAACAGTGGACTTTCATACTCAGAAATTTAAAAGACATTGTTCCCACTATGGTGCTTAAATCAGCTTACTACGCTTTATGTGAATCACATCTCTCGTATGGTATCTTCGTATGGGGTCACTCTAGCATACGTCATCACCTATTCTCCTTACAAAGAAAAGCAATACGAATCTTAGCCAATATTAACTATAGGACGATTGTAAAGAGCAATTTAAGAATCTCCAAATTCTGACTTTACCATGTATTTATATACTTAAGTGCCTGTTATATGTTAAAATTAACTTACAACTGTACAAGCAGCATTCTGACTACCATTCATACTTTACCAGGAACAAAGATGCCTTATGTCCGAGAAGCATTCGATTATCCAAATCTAAAAATGCTGCAGAGTATTACTCTGTGAAATTTTTCAATAAACTCCCCGTCCCGGTTCAAGTATTGGAGATCGTATGTTTCAAAAAATGTATAAAAAATTTTCTTTTAGGGAAAGCTTATTACGAATTCTCAAAGTTCATTAATGACGATTGCACCTTTTATAATTCTTGAACTGTAATTCTAATTTGTCCATATGTTTTCACCTTATTATTAATATTAATATTATTATTATTAACTCTTGAATAAAAGCAGTTAGGATATTGTTTCGATATATTTGTGCTGTTACAGTTTCCTGAAAGAAAACTGAGGTTCAATGATACGTCTGCGAGACATTGCGCACCATTCACCAATTTTAACAAGATGGAGGAATCTCATAATTGTGATTCAAATTGACACACAGTGGCGGCTCGTCATATGAGGCAAGTGAGGCGGCGCCTCACAGCATATATCTTAAGAACAGATTGATTTAATTTATAATTAAAAAAGAGCTTTCAATGCATTTTTAGTTACAAAAATATGTTGAAATGGTAAATCTGTAGATTATTTTTTATTTTTTACACTTTCTGCGGACATTTTCCGTTGAATACTGTACCATTTATGCCCCGAATTCTTTAACTGAAGCGGCCAGAGCGTCGGTTCACTTGAGCCAATGAAGCCCAATCACAGACACGGATTTCCATGACTCAGCTGCTATACTCCTACACATGAATTCGCTCGGAACTGAGGCGATATCTTCGATGCTTCTCGGCCAATTTCGGCGGACCCATTAAACCATTTTCCCATTTATTTTACAGAATGGAAGGGGTGCAGGGTGCGTGGGTAATTAGCATTAACGTGAATAAAAGTCCAGGAGTTGGTGTTTCGTATTTTTGTCTCTTTCATAGGTACAGGGTACAGGTGAGTGAAAAATGAATCCCGAGTACGATATTGTCATGTTGCTTCTTGAAACGCCGTTTTCACGACGAACCGAGTTAGAACGTCGGTAAATTTTGCTAAATATCGAACAGTCAAAACCGTTAACTTCCATTGATAAGCGACAATGTCATCAGTACTCCAGGTCTTTTAAACCAGCCTGGTACGAAACATAAACGGCTCTGCCGTAGCCGTAATATTTATGCTGAAAGTCTATATTGTTGGCCGTGTCTACTCTTAGGCAATGTAAAAAACACATGGACGACGTCTCCGGGATATAACGATTTAAAGGATTTCATTCGAAGTGCAAAGTTACACAAAAGTTCCAAAGTACACATTAAAAATTTCATGGGCTTAAAAGATTTAGAAAGGAACACAACTATTGCCGAATCCCTCCAAGAAAGTGCTAGTTTAAAAAAAATTTTGACTTGTAAAAACATTGTTGATTAAATGTGTTATGGGTGTTAATATTATTATTACTATTATTAGGACCCACTACTGACTGGGAAATGAACGGTATTCAGGCAAGACTTCTATCATTACTAACTACTAAGACCAAGTAATACGCATTAATTACATTAATTTAATTAATTTTATTATTGATAATATTATTGTCAAACTTCTATCATCGCCTCACCACATCAGACAGTCACGAGCCGCCACTGTTGACACAAACTCAATACCGGAGAAATGGAACCAAGCTTCATCAGAAAAGAATGTTAAATCAAGCAAGTTATCATTGAGATGTTCAAGAAATCATCTGCAGTAGGTAATACGTCTATTAAAATCAGCCGGCAAAAGTTCGTGATAGGCATTAAGTTTGTACGGGAAAAGCTGGATCTGTTTTCACAATTTTATGGCATGTACCCACGGAAAACCCATCTTCTATGACTTCATTGGTACACAGTGTTGGTCGTCCAGCATCTTTTTTGTGGTGGACATTACCTGTTTCGCGAAATATTTGCTCAGTGTTTTTAACAACGTTGTAAAAATCAGCAACCATGAAATTGAAGTATGGAAATTTTATTTTCCACAGAGTAAACCACTTTGCACCTTTATTTTCAAAAAATTCGAAAGTTTCACGTTTCAAACACCAACGCGGCTGAATGTATCAAAGACAATCAGAATCTGTCAATTTAACGTCGACAGCCTCGACTGACAACTGAGAAATCGAAAAATGAAGAAATCGATTTATGTTTATTTAAAAATTTCAAGTTGTGATATATTCTTTAATCATAATTTTATATTCACTAACTTTTTGATAATGATAACCCCCTAATTAATGCGTACCATTACACTCCAAGGCGATAATTATAGAAATGTACTATCATCTACAAAAGTCTTCACCAATTTTCTGCATATTTTCCAAAGTCTACGTTAAGTAACCATAACCTAAACAGTTATTTTGTTATTCGTTATTTTAAGGAAACCCATACAACTTATATTTAATCACACCCATCTATAAAAATCTTAGTTTCTAGATTAGTGAAAATATCATCAAGAACTCTCTCTAAATGTAGATTTCTCTCTAATTTAATTTTTTTCACCTCTTCGAGAATTCCACGTTTCAAATCCTCCAAAAACTCTCGACTGTGCTCAAAACTTCCAAAACTCTCCATTATATCTACAAAAAGCTTCTTACTTTCCAAATCTAGTGGTCTTTTTTTCAACAAATCTAAAAGACGAAGTAAAACAACTTGATCAAATATTTTGTGCAAGAAATACTTATAAGGCGATGGTCTTCGGGATGACTTTGAATAGCATGAATTATCGGATAACTGAATTTCCCTTCATCTAGGTCATCACAGAAAACCCGAACGGTTGCCCACTGTGAAACTACTTAAATCAAATTCAAAAATCCTAGTTTGTTTACCTTAGGATTGTGCAGATTTATATAGTCGTCATACACCTGAATGAAGTAACCTATTTTATCCCAAAATTCATTACTGAAATTGATTTTTTTTGTCTTGGCAAACATTTCTAATAATCGAACTCCCCACATAAAGGTGTAGGAAGCTTCTAAAACCGAAACACATTATGGTGATTAAAATTAAAGAAAAAAAAGTTAATGTTTAACTTACTGCCTTGAACTACCACCCTGAAATCGTCAAAGGTAGGACATGTTTCAGTGTCCCTATAGTATATTTCCACTCCTTGGCCTGTCATAAGATCAAGACCTACTTTAATGAAGCCATCGGCGAGTTCCTAAATCAGAATATTGGTAAAATAACTCTATAGGTAATGTACAACGTAATCATCATATCATATCATTATTATATACTTTTACAACTAGACAACACCTCACTATCTCCCAGATGATAAATCAGGTCTTGAAATAGCAAAATGGCCTTATGTATTGTAGCTTGCACGGTTAACGGGACTCCATAAACCATATGGGCAGCGGGGATTCCTCGTCGAACTTTTGTTAAATCTTCAATATCATCTAAACTGTAAACGCATAAAACAGAAGAAAATTTAAATTAATATTTGTGTAACCAGAGCATACTTACATAAGAGCCACATTATAAATTGTATCTCCAATATCACCATAGATTTTTTGCAAGTTTTTGGGACACTTAATCCAATAGTTACAAGCACGCCACAGTCTTCTCATAATGTTACGATATTCCGGCCCAGGTTGTGTAACGTGTATAATAGGTGCCAATAAAATCTGCTTTCAGAAAAATAACCACAATTTTTAGTTTTGTGTTCAAATTACCTCTTCATCTTTGGGCCACATACGAACTTCAACGAATGGTGACTTCTTGCGAACACATATACTAGATTTGATATATTAGTCTTATACTTATATACTATTTAATATCGTAATCAAAGTTATAAAACGTAGCAATTTTAAAACGTGTTTTTTTTTTTTGTTGTGTGACGTACGTATTAACAGCCATGTTTCTAATTTCATCATTAATTTGTGTTATTAATGATAATGAGTACATAATTATGAAATGTACAATCGCAATTAGTCGCAGTTATTGTGTATAACATATAATAATAAATTTAATAACAGTTTTTTGAAATATAGGTTTACGTAAGCCAAATTAAGTATGTTTGAGATGCTTTTGTTGGAAATCGTATTGATGCACTTCGCCACTATGGAGTCAAATTCCATAATATCCTAAAATGTTTAATTTAATTTGGAATTACACAACCAAATTATGAATAACAATAAACGAATGTCTTTTATATCGTCAAAATGATCGCAATAATATATTGCCGCTTCAATCCACGAACTGCATCTTATCAGACCAGGTTCTGGATGCAATGGACAATCCGCTAAGGCTTCCCGGAAGGCTTCGATCCTCAAATAAGCTTTAAAAAATACTTGCTTTACGTTGGAAATTAAACCACTTTTACCTTTCAGTGTAAAGTAATATTATGATACACTTTGCTCAATTTGTTTTTAATGTGATTGGTAATAATTTTGACCTGGTTTTAAAAAAAAATAACTATTTGCGAAAAAGACTAATGAACATATTTGCCAACATTGAACATGTAGAACTATAAACACATTGTAGTCAGTAATTATTTTATTTTTACCAATATATTAGATACATTTAGAGGTAGTAACCAGGCAGAGCACCATTTGCTGATCGCTAACAACTCCTTTTTTAGGATAGACTGATTGTTGCTGGTGTTGTATATGTTTATGTCATCAGCATACAATGCGAAAGGTGATTGAATAATGTCTTTTAAATAAGCGGTGTATGCTATGAATAATAGTAGACCCAAAATCGATCCGCGAGGTACACTAGTCAGGACCGGAATATGCTCGCTTAGGGCGTCATTAACCCTCACTTTAAACGTACGATCAGACAAAAAGGCGCCAATCCAATGAAGTAGATCCCCCACTATTCCAATATTTTCAAGCCTGGCTAAAAGCAGGCGTTTGGGAACTCTATCGAAAGCAAGTAAACAACATCAACTGAAACTCCCGAATCATAACACCGGGTCCAGTCTGAGAGACAGCAAAGGAGATTCGAAATTGTGAACTTGCCTGGAAGAAAGCCTTGCTGTTCTTCCGGAATAAGATGTTGATCCAATAGGAACTTAATGAGAGTTTCGTAGATTATAGACTCCATGGTTTTAACAATGAGGGAGGTGAGACTAATGGGCCGATAATTACACGGATTGAACTTATCTCAGGTCGCACGACTGCTGCTTTCCAATCAAAAGGCAAGAAGCTTGAAGTAAATGATTGTTTCATTAAGAAGACTCAGAGATAGAGAAAGACATTCGACACAGTGGGCCAAAACGGAAGCAGTAATTGCGTCCGGCCCAGGGAATTTAGAAAGTTTAAGTTTCTTCAACTTACTGTAAATGACATCCGGGAAACTCAATACTATCAAGAAAGACATTCGGCTTGAGTATTATTGCACTAGGTAATGTATTGTCAGTTTCAAGAGTGAGAGTTTTAGAAAATGTGTCTGCGAAAATATTTGCAACAGTAGCACGGTCATGGGTGATTTTGTCATAGTCGTCTCTCAATTGAAGAGTCGACACCGACCCGGAGAGTTTTTTACGGATATGTCTGTAAAAACGCTTAGCGTCTGTTGAGTCGGCAAGTTGCTTTTCGTATGCGATACGAGCTTCTCTAATTGTGACTGAAAGATTATTAGAAAAATTACGATGTGCTTCGTAGTCGTTTTCATTTCCTGGTGTCTTAAATGCTCGCCATAAAGCTCGTTTATTTCTTACCATTTTTAGATTTTTTTACCAATCCATGGTTTAGTTGAGGATCTTTTGATACTAATACTAGAAGAATGGTCACACGAGGTTGAGCACAGTGGTCTTAAATAATTCCCAGTTTTCTGCGACCAAGGACGGCCAGTAAACATCGGTTGAGGCCTTATTCACAGATCCGTAGTCAATAACAGCTCTGTTCTTTCCTTCGAAAACGTGCAAATCTGGAAATTAACCTTGGTGGTGGAGTAATCTGATTTTCCGACAGGTTCAAGGTATTCCAAATGCATCAGAGAGTTGTCGTCGCTAGTGATAATTAAGTCCAGTATAGAAGGGTTTTGATTTATCCTGTACCGGGTGGGTTGCGTTACCAACTGAGCAGGATAAACAAGAAGATCTGGTACGCTATCTTGTTACTTTTTACATTACGCTCGATGGCAACCAAATCTGGGGCAAAGTGAAATTACTACTAGATGGCACCACCATAGGCAGCGACTGTCACTTTGACAGAAATTTCACGATTTTCAAGTTTTTGATCTTTCTAGGTTATGTTATCCATTGTCAAACTAGTGGTCAAAGTCGCAGGTGTCGTCAGTGGCATCAACAAGAATGTTTAAAAGACTGGATTATTGGGCTCTGCAATCGTTAAAGTAGTTTTATGTCGTCAAAACAAATGAAAATAGTAGCTATTAAAACTGTTACGAAGGTTCATATTTGTTTGGTGTTTGTGCATTTTTTTTTTGTTATTAGGGTATTCATACTTTGCAAATACAACAAAATACGGCATTTCTTCATTTTTTGAAACAACAGCTGTTTTCATCTGTAAGCCGTGTTCATGGCGAAGTTACGTTCTTCCTCAATCTCTCAAAATTTCTCACTAAAATACCTATTACAAGTAATCGTCAGTTTCTCATCGCAACTTTACTTGAGTGGGAAAATGATGTTACACTTTATATCACCTAATTCATTGATTATGTCGACAACAAATAAAGAGTTGCTTGTGTAGCAGTTCCATGGTGAGTTTTAAGTATGTATGGCTCTGTGAGATGAACAGGGAAATATGCAATTTGATTAACATAATCTAAAATTTATGGTAGGTGATAAGTTTATATTAATATTTACATCTAATATCTGGAATACTTCACTTTTGAAGACTAAAATTATCTTCTTAAATTTTAAAACTTTACCTACTTAACAACCCGATGTTAAATAAGATGTTGATAATTTGCTTTGATCAATGACTAAATGACCACACAATCGTCACAAAAATAAACTTCACTACCTTGGATCATAGATAGATAGATAGATTAGGTAGTTATTAGTACTACTGGTATTACCTATTAGTCAAAGCTTTTCTTTTGTTATGGTACACTTGATGGAATGAGGATGGGAGAACAGTGGATGAATGACTCAGGTGAGAAGATGTTGATCCTAAATTTAAAGTAGGTAGTGCGTTGCAGTCTAAGGTTCTTCTAACCAGCTTGTTATTGTTATAAAATTCATTAATACAACGAGGTTCAAAGTGGTCCATGCAAATGAAAGTGTTCATTTGAAACGCAAAGCCGGCAGAATTTCTCCACAGACTTAGTTTATTCATATTCTGAAAACACAATTAAACTTGTTATTGTACAGATTAAACACTCTGATAACTAAAGACATGGAACCAGTTACAAAAGATTGCACGTCTCCAAAATAGAACTCGTCAATCACGCCTCATGTGACTACCTACTTAAAGAAAAAACAAAATGTAATCTGAGGTTGTCGACTGTACAACCAAAATTGTTCTGTGGCAGTGTTCATATGTACTTTTTGAGTTAATGACCTTCAATTAATTGTTATATGACTTCTGTCAGTAATTTTCATGAAAAAAATTGATGAAATTTATTTTCAAACATAACCTAGAAGGTGGAAACGAAATATTGGTAATATACTTCTAAGCCTAAGAAAATTAAAACACAAAATTCTCCAAACATTCAAAGTCAAGATGTTTTTGTGCTTTAAAATAAAAAGTTAAGATTTCTGTCTGGAGTATCTGAATCGAGATCTGGATATAATGACATGTCATAGGCGCGCTCTTCATTAAAACTAGAGGTTAATTTATTCGCATGATAAATCTGAAAGACAATAAACAGTTCATTTTATAAACAGCAATACGTTTTACTTGTAAAACGCAAATTAAACATAAAGACGAAGTATAAAACAATTGCGATCACTGCGTTCGTCTATGCTTGGTTATATTTGTTTCCTGCTGACTTCAAAATGTAGAAATCACAAGATTTTTGGTGTAGATTGGAATTCCTAAACACAAAAATGTTATAAAGACAAAAAAAAAAAATCAAGCAAAAATGCTAAAACAAGCCAAGAGTACAGCAGAGTTGCGATGTGTGAAAGCGGCTGTCTACATTACATACATTACCGAAGGAACTTTAAATAGCGTCTTATCGCTGTCAAGCAATTTTACACGGCCACAAATAACGCACCGCCTCATCTTTCGATCTTTCTAAATATCAACAATTCGTTCGTGGAAAAGAAAAGTAGTACTTGTCAAAGTTGACGTTTAATCTGACAGTCACTGAATCACGTATGCGCCATCTATTGGTCACTAGCTCTGGACCGTATTTTGAGTGCCAAAATGGCGGAAGAGACAGCGTACCAGATCTTCTTGTTTATCCTGCAACTGAGTTAAGTGACTATTCGATAACAAGGTCGACTGATAATTGAGAAGATGGAGAACAAGCCTGAGAAGCGTTTAAGAGCCACTTTATATCAGGCATATTGAAATCACCAAAAATAAAAAGATGTTGATAATAATGATAAACGTCAGTCATCTCTGAGATGCACTGGATAAGGGAGTGCTCATCTTCGATGATGGAAGTAAGTGGCCGGTAAATGCAACCTAACAGAAACGCCAACCAACCTCTTATTTGATATCTTCAGAAATATAGTGTCAATGTTACTCGTGTCGGCTGTAATGGAAATAACTGCAAAGTTCGCGCAGATGTGATCAATGTTAAAACACGTCCACCTCCGCCTTTGTTGTGACGATCTTTTCTAAATACTGATGTGCACGTACCATAGGGCGGTCAGATAATTACATCTCTTGTAAGTTATGTAAGCACAATTATCACTTACTCTGCGGTGGTATAACCCCTGAGACGTATAATAATATGAATGATTTGGGTGCTCTCACTGACTGGTCTTGCAGCTT